AGAGACAGAGAGACAGAGAGACAGAGACAGAGACAGAGACAGAGACAGAGACAGAGACAGAGACAGAGACAGAGACAGAGACAGAGACAGAGACAGAGACAGAGACAGAGACAGAAACAGAGAGAGACAGAGACAGAGACAGAGACAGAGACAGAGACAGAGACAGAGACAGAGAGACAGAGAGACAGAGGGACAGAGAGACAGAGAGACAGAGTGACAGAGTAGACAGATTGACAGAGTGACAGAGTGACAGAGACAGAGAAGCAGAGAGACAGAGAGACACAGACAGAGAGACAGAGAGCCAGAGAGACAGAGGGGCAGAGACTGAGGGAGAGAGAGAGAGAGAGAGAGAGAGAGAGAGAGAGAGAGAGAGAGAGAGAGAGAAGGGGGGAGGGGAGGGAAGAGAGAGAGAGAGAGAAACACAAAACAAAAAAAGAGATATATCTAGAGAGAGCGGGAGAGCGAGAGAGAGAGAGAGAGAGAGAGAGAGAGAGAGAGAAAAGAAGAAGAAGAAGAGAGCGAACTACAAACATACATCGCGAGAAAGAGAAGCAATGAGAGAGATAATGACATATATATATATAGAGAGAGAGAGAGAGAGAGAAACAACAATAGAGAGAGAGAGAGAGAGAGAGAGAGAGAGAGAGAGAGAGAGAGAGAGAGAGAGAGAGAGAGAGAGAGAGAGAGAGAGAGAGAGAGAGAGAGAGAGAGAGAGAGATAGAGAGAGAGAGAGAGAGAGAGAGAGAGAGAGAGAGAGAGAGAGGGAGAGGAGAGAGAGAGAGAGAGAGAGAGAGAGAGAGAGAGAGAGGCAGAGAGAGAGAGAGAGAGAGAAAAACAAAAAGGGAGAGAGGGAGAGAGATCGGGCATGTCGACGGGCGCCTCGTCGCAGCCGGCTACAGCGGTAGCCGTGGCCGCCAATGCGCTCATAGCGGCGGCGCCCGCTTTGGGGCGCGGGTGACTGTGAGTAAACCGTCCCCTGGCGCAATGCGACTAGGATAAGAGGCGGGGCGCTGAGCAGGCGACGCGCCGCGTTTCTCGGCCCCGCGGCGGAGGGGCCCCGGTCGGCGGCGGCCTCGTTGGCGGCCAGAGGGCAAGTGCTCGGCCGCTAAGCGGCTCGCGGAAACGGGGCGCCCCCCGCCCCCGCGCCCAAGCACTTAGGGCGCGCGGCCACGCGGTGAATCGGGCCGGCGCGAGGGGGGGCCGAGGGGCTAGGCGGGGGGCCCAGCGCGGACTTGCACGGCATTTGTGAACCGTAGGTTGTTGAAGGATTTCGCATGCGCGCGCGACGACGCGCGCGCGTGGACGTCGTCTGCTTTTCTCTCCAAGGGGTTTTTGACAATTGACGATTTGCGGCGAGCGAACGCGCGCGCATAGTTGTTCTGCAGAGGACGAGGGGGGAGGGGGGCGATGCCAGCCTGGCCGGGATGGCATGAGTTCATAATTATGATGGGCGATGGGGCAGAGTCATATGTCAATTGCAGCACGAAGCGGGGAGTCGTTAATTCCGGAGAGGAGGGGGGAGGGGGGTGTGGTTCTGTGCAAATTCTTTTGCAAAGATTTCACCGCCCACCCGCGCCTTGGTTTGCAAAACCATGCGGCGGCGATTGCGATGAGTGCTTGGTGTTGGCTGGTGCATTTCGGCGGCCGCGTTAGCCCGCGCATGCTCGCGCGCGCAGCGGCCATCCAGTTTGGCGCGACCGACGCGGCCGCGGTGGCGCTGACCGTTGGGCGCTTCCCAGCGGGCACTTCGGCGCGAATCGATGACATGGGCGGGCGCGGTATCATGGCGACGCCGGCAACGGTAGGTACGATTATGAGAGTGGCGCTGACGGTGGCGATGGTGGCGATGACGATGGCAACGCCAATGACGGCGCCGATGCTGATCACGCCCGCCGGTAACGATGACGATGTCGTCGCGTCGGCGATGAAGGTTTTGACAGAAATTGGACGTGCGCGCGGGCTCGCGCGGTATGATTTGACGCAGATCGCCCCCCGTCCGTAGCACGCGTTCGAGGGCATTCGAATGAGTTCGCCATGCGGCGCGAGAGGCCTGTTCGGTTGACTTGAATACGCATGCTGGAACACCGATGGTTGTCTTAAGAAACCGCACGTGCTACATGTTTTCATGTGTTCGGGGCGCGCGATTTCGTCCGCATGAAAACGAGAATGTTTGAAGGATTCCGGCATGCTCGCGCGACGACGCGCGCGAGTGGATGATATATGAAAATATATACCCACACGTTTGCAAGTTGATTATTGCGACAACGCGCGTAGGGGTGCTCAAACGCTGTCGGCACGCGCACCCGAAAGACATAGTTGGAAGTTCGTTTTTTGAACGTGTTGAGAACCTTATGTTTTTATGTAGAAACAAAATAGGTCACACAAAAACCGAGCGCAAATTATTGTTGAACATTCCTGTTGCGAAGCCAGGTGTTTCTGTATGTGTTCGTGGCACTGGATTTTGAAACCCGTACGAAACCTCAGGTTCTTAAGGATCTCGGCATACGCGCGCGACGACTTGCGCGTGTGCGCTTCGTTTTTTGTTTGTGTTCGTTCCGACGGGTTTTGCGAAAACGGATGAGTTTTTATGGCCATTGCGTACGCGTAGTACTTTTGGCAGAGCATGAATGGGGGAAGGGGGAGGTGGCGCGAACTCCGGCCTGCCTGGGACGGTGCGAATTCCTTCTTTGGACGGACGATGGGGCAGAATCATATGCACACTGCAATATGGAAAAAGTTGACCATTAACCCCAGGGGTAGTAGATCCTATTCCTCTGTTAGAAGAGAGATAACCTATGTGGTGCCACCTATCGAAGACGCCTGCGGCGAATCACCGCCGCCCCCTGTATTTTTGGGAGCGCCTATGTAGCCGAACGTTGAGGCCAGATCTGCCAAGCTATCGGACCATGTGTTCCCCGAATCGGCTGGGAAAGCCTTCCGGGAACACGTGGGCGTCTTGAAGGTCTTCTTGGCCGTTTGGAGGCCATTTTGATATTTTCGGGCCGTCTTGGAGGACGTCTTGGAGGGCTTGTGGGCCCCTGGGCTGTCTTCGAGGCCATCTTGAACGTCTTGCAGGCCTCTTGGGCCGTCTTGAGGGCCTCTTGGGGCCGTCTTTGGGCCTCTTGGGCGATCTTTGCCTCGTGGGCGATCTTGGGGCGATTTTGGCGGCCTCTTGGGCCGTCTTGAGCCGTCGGAATGCCGAGAAGAGGCAAATGCCACAATTCTTCAAACACCTGAGGAACATCAATGATTTTGGCCTCTTCGGGCCCTCCTGGAGCACCTCTTGGAGGCCTCTTGGGCCGTATTGAGGCCTCTTCAGCCGTCTTGAGCCATTTTGAAGATTTCGTACGCCATCTTGGGTACATCTTGGGCCGTCTTGGAGGCATTTTGGGGCCATCTTAGCCGTCTTGGAGGCCATCCTGGCCGTCTTGGATGCATCTTGGAGGCCATCTTGGGCCGTCTTGGAGCCGTCTGGTTCAGGAAAAACCCTTTGGAACCGGGTCGTGGCAAGTTTTCGGCATCTTTTCGGGTGACCGGCGGGACGGGCCGAAGCCCCAGGGGGAGTTCTTTTGGAAAAAGAGCCCAAACCAAAACCGAGAGGATTCAGCACGCCAGGCACCCCTGCGATGAATCGACAGGGGGCGGCGGATCTGATGTCCTACGGCCTATCCCGCCACCGTGCGTGGGTTGCGGGTCTGAAGCTTACTGGATGTTCGTTGGGATCTCGTTGGAGGCCTTTCGGGGGCCTCTTGGAGGTAATTTTGAAGTCATTGGGGAGCCGTTTTGGGGCCTCCTGGGGTCTCTTGATGGCCTTTTGGGGTCTCATGTCGGCCTTTGGGTGGCCTCTTGAGAGCCCCTCGGGGCCTCTTGGGCGCCTCTTGGGGTCACCTTGGGGCCTCTTGGGACGGAAGGCTTGGATTTTCGGTTCGTGTTCCTTTTCTTGGGCCTGTTTTGGGGCCGTTTTGGTGCCGCCTTGGGGTGGGGCCTCATGGGCCATCCTGGAGCTTTGGGAAACAGAAACGACGAGACAACGCCGATATCCTTCCAAAGCCAAAAGAAAGTCAATGATTTGGGCCTCTTGAGCCCCTCATGGGAGGCCTCTTTGAGGCCTCTGGGGCCGTTTCGGGAGCGCTCTAGGCGTCTTGGGCCGATCTCGGGTGCCTCTTGGACCCCGTCGCGTCTCCCCGCGTGACTCCTGGGGCCCTCTTGGCCCCTCTTGGCCCGTCTTGGGGCCCTCTTGGGCCAGACAGAATCACGCGCCACCACTTCCCAAAGCTTAGGGGGCACGCGCCACGGCCCAGGAGATTTCTGAAATGAGGGCCCGGTCCTCAGGACTGACACTCCTCAGGGCTGAGAGCTGAGGCTCAGGGGATTGGGCACAGGACCTGCGGGCACGCCCTCTCCGTGCCCAGCGGCTCGGCGGCAGATGTTCTGCAGCTTTTGTTGTGCACCGTATGTGGTGCAATCTATGCTGTGCAACATCGCCGCCAGAGCGACACACCTGCCCAGACGACGGGCGGCGACGAGGCGGCGACGTGGCGTCGACGGCGGCAGCATCGCCGCCAGACCGCCAGACCAGCCCAGACGACGGGCGGCGACGAGGCGGCGCCAGGGCGGCGACGGCGACCACATGGCCGCCAGACCGTCACACCAGCCCAGACCACAGGCGGCGACGGGGCGGCGACGGGGCGGCGACGGCGACAACATGGCCGCCAGACTGCCATACCAGCCCAGTTCTTCAGTAGTAGCACGTAAGAGCCCCTGAGTGTGAGCACTGTTTGGGGAATGGTCGGGCACGGGATGGTGAGCGAGAGTAGGGCAGGGGGAGTGGGAGAGCAGGCGTGGGGATGGGAAGCTACTGGGAGGGAGGACCAGCGGAGAGGGGAGACGGGGGGAGACGGGGAAGGTGGAGAGGCCGAGGAGATGAGGGAGGAGGGAGGAGGGAGGAGGGAGGAGGGAGGAGGAAGGAGGAGGAGGAGGAGGAGGAGCGGGAGGGGCAGGTGTTGATATCCGGACTGGTCGTGCAGTACATAGCTCAGGCCCCGTCCCGCCTTATCGCCCGTTGGTCTCCCCGAGGGCGTTGAGCGGGCAAACCCGTTTCCGCCGCTGCGTCGTCGTCGTCGTCGTCGTCGTTGCCATCTCCGTGCTCCCCTCTCTTCCTGACGGATCTGTTTTCTTGCTCCGCTGCTCGTCCTTGCTCTTCATCCTGGTGCCGCCGTTCCTTCTCCTTTCCCACTCCTTCGAACTCGCTCCCTCTCCTGATTCCCTCTCCTTCCTCTTGCTGTTGCTGTTGCTGATGGTGCCGGTCCTTGCTGACGTGTCTGCTGCTGCCCCCCCTCCCGCCCCCTCTCCCACCCCCTATCCGCACGTTCCTCCTTTGCTTGCTTCCCACGTCCTCTCCTTGTTCTGGAACAGCACGTCTTCCTCCTCCTCCTTCCCCTCCACCCTCCCTCCCATTCCTTCCCCTCTCATCCGCGTCCCCCCGCTCTTTTCTTTACCCCCTCGGTTCCTCTTCACCAGCGTCGCCATGTGGTCTGCCCTTGGGCAAAAGCGCCGGCTGCTTGCCGCAGTGCCTTGCGTGTGCGGCAAGGCCACTCCCCGCAGGAGGGCGGCCTTCCTCTCGCAGGCACCCCTCGACTCGACTCGGTCGCTGCTCTTCGGCCCGTGCCGGAAACTTCCCCTCCTCGGGGCGCGGCGCGTGAGCGCGAGCAGAACCAGAGGGTTCCAAAGGAGGTTCTTGGGGAGGGTTTTTTCCAGCAGGGCTCTCCCAGGGGCTTCGCGCCCCCTGTTTTGAGGAGGCTCCGAGGCCCCTGGGGCGCCCCAAGCGCGTCGGCCTTCCGGCGGCGAGGAGCGCAGACTCGGGAGACCCTGGGGGGCCTCTCGGAGTCGAGCCCCGAGGCCTGCCCAGGGAGCCCAGGGCGGCGATCCAGCCGCAGCGATTGGGCCACCCCCCAGGCTGCCCAAAGCGGAGGAGGCGCGTCAAATCCACCTCCCGCCCCTCCCATCCCTCCCCCCCCCCCTCCTGCACTTTTCCTCCCCCGTCCCCCTCCTCTATTGGACCTGCCTCTTCGGAGGCAGGCCACCGTCCCCGTCGCCCTCCCCACGTGCTAACTCCTTCTTCCTTCTTCCTTCCTCCTTCCTCCTTCTCCGTCTCCTCCCTGTTCTCCCCCTCCTCCCTCCTCCATCTCCTTCCTCTTTTCTCTCCTCCCTATCCTCCCTTCTCCTCTGAGCTCATCGTGCTCTAGTCGATGCGGCGGAGGCGGAGGCGGAATTCCGCAAAGCCCGAACTGAAGATGCCTCCGTGGACAAAGCCAGGAGAACCTCTGCACTCGATCGTGCGGTGCGGGCTGGCCCTCTCAAGTTTGTAGCTCATGGGGCCGATGTTCGGTGTACCGATTGCAAGCTTCTTGTTCCAAGGGCTGGCCTTGGAGAGGCGTACCAGGCCCCTTGCATCGTTGCTGTCGGGTTTGATCCTTTCCGTCCGTGGTCGTTCGTGCGGTCCAGGGGCCCGCATCCTTCCCACGCTTTTGCCCGTTGGACCTGCACGGTAATTGTTTGTTTCTGCCTGAGGTGCGGACGTATCGCGACATTGTGCGGGCGGCAGCTAATTAACGTTTGCGGAGAGGTTACCACCGCCAGTTCGACGCACCCGTGGGCATTACAGCTTGCCGACGACTCACAGTGCCTGGCCGCTCATCCTATCGGAGAGACGTTTCGGGAACTGTGGCGGCCACCCGTTGTAAAAGCGCACTACGGGAGAATGAGGAGGTTCGCGACACATTCCGATATTACGACACACGAGCGTTGCGAGCGACCTTCTGGACTCCGAGATAGACCCCCCCCAGGCACCAGTAGGATCTCCGAGGCCCTTCCGTCTGCCGAGACCGTCGATACCGACAGCGAGGACGAACAGGAGTGACCCTTTCGATGCAGTATTCCTGGATGTTCTGAACGATTCGAGTCTCTCAAACAGCTGGTGTCTCTTCAAACTAAGTCTAAGGCCGGCGGACACAGTCTCCCATCCATATTTACACCTGCAATTGGATAAGACAGTTTTTGCATGTCATACCACATTTTCAAACATCGATCATGCTGTACGACTTTCACGACGATCATGGCAAGCAGGACGATGCATACACGACCTCACGCATCACGATCATCCCTGGACGGCATCATCAGCGACGACGTGGCCTTCATGATGCCACGATTCAGATCCTGCACGTCATCTTGATTCTATGGACCACGACAAGCTACGATAACATGCGTAGGCACACCTCGTCCTCCCCCCTCCTCGTCCCTCCTCGTCGTCCTCCTCGTCCTCCTCCTCCCCCCCTCCTCCCTCTCCTCGTCCTCCCCCCCTCCTCGTCCTCCCCCCCTCCTCTCCCCTCGTCCTCCTCGTCCTCCCCCCTCGTCGTCCCCCTCCTCGTCCTCCCCCCCTCCTCCCCCCAGCAGCTGCCGCCTGGCTTGGCCACGAAGGAGGCCGCGGCCGGCCCCGGGAGCGACCTCGGCTCCGCGCTCCGCGCGCCGAGCGAGGGCCCCCGTGAACCAGCACGCGCTGGCGTCGGCACGCGCTTGCCGTCATGCTTCTTACAGCCTGGGCCATGGGGCATCCGCCCGCAGGCTTTTACTTTGCTCCAAAGACCGGACTTCCGACCTGTCGCCAGGTGGTTCGTCACCACCCACCAAACCACCCCAACCCAACCCGAAGGCCTCAATGTGCCCTCCATTTCCAGTCCAGTGGGGGGGGGGGCTGTTGGGGAACACCGGGAAAACACAGATGAAACCCTTGCCCCATCCCAGCCCGAACAAAATTCTGGTCTTCGGGTTGGGCTGGGGTGGTCTCTGGTAGGTCGTCAGTTCGCGGCTCGAGCTTGCACATGGGCGCGAGCTCCTTGCGCGCCCGGCGCCCCCGGGCGGCAGAGCGCCGCCGCCGCCGTCGGCCGCCCGGTGCAGGAGGCGACCTCGACGAGCTCGGGACTCTTCTGCTGCGCGGCGGCAGGCGCGACGAGCTGCGGCGGGTTCGTGTCGTGTCGACCGGCGGCGACCCCGCCAGCGGCGTTCAACTTTGGACGCTGCGGGCGATCCAGAATCGTTCGGTGTGGAACGAGCTGGACGTTCCGGAAATGGCCGATCGTTCAAGGTTGAACGATCCCCGCTGTGTCAGAAACCAACGCCGAAGTGGGCACGACACGAATCTGACGTACTGACCGAAGGTTTCGACGGTGCGCTGGGCTGGACCAACTAGTACAACAACGCGTGCATCGGATACGTGCATCATCTCGGCCGCCTGGAGTACCAGGCACATCATCAGCAGCGCCACCACTGACGCGGAACATCATATTCTTACGTGGACCCCTATTGTGCTGAGGTCTCTTTCGACAGCGTGACGGCCAAGGAGAAGGCGGCTCCCCCGAGAAGGCGTCACCGCCCGCGAGGGCGAGCTGGAACCTCCCGCTGAACTCCTCGAGTGCCTCAGCGACATCTGGCGAAGGGTCCAAGAGCGGGCAACCGCCAGCGCGCAGGCCACGCCTGGCGGCACCTCCGCCCAGGGCGGCAGCCGCAAAGGGCAAGGACGCAGACAAGCAGGACGAGGAGGCCGAGGCAGCACAGCCGCAGAGACGCAAGAGACGTGGAGAGAGGAGGACGAGGCGCGGCGACCGCTCGGAGAAGCAGTGGACGAGCGCGGACAAGCACTTACGGTCGTTCCTGAAGTCGACGCGGAAGCTGGTGCCCCAGTCCGCGCACCGCACGAGGCTCAACAACTCGCTGGCCATGGGGACCTACGCATGCCCGAAGATTCACGCAATGATCGACAAAGTGAGCAACGAGCTGGAGGGCTACAAGAACACCTTGGACAGGCTGCGCTACGGCTCATCAGAGGACAAGCAGGGGATGAAGGAGACCGGCTCCCCTGCGCCCAGCACGGGCCTCGTGGCGCTGGAGGGCCTCCTGCAGTGCGACATCGGAAGGGCTCTGCGCGCGGGGATTGAAGACCGGCCCCCCGACGAGAGCATGTTGTGCGAAATATGCAAAGAGGACCTCGCCGAGCAGATCAGATTCATGATCGGCCTCATTCGACTCTAGAATTGTGACGATACGGAGAACTTGAAACTCATCACTGGAGCACCAGAGCGGGAGGGCAGAGGGATCATATTGAAAGCATTCCGCTTCGAAGGAGCGGTCGTACAACATCGCGGCGTAGCGCCAGCGAAATGGCTCGAGGACGAGGTAGGACATTGGTTGGAGACGCTCGACTTATCACAATATTCTTGCGCGGAGATGTGTTTCCTGGAACGCTGACGACGCCGCGAATATCCTGCCCGTTGTCCTCTTCGTCGCCCCTTTGACATGTGGGTCCCACGCCCGCCACTCTGCCTTCCCCAGAGCCTGGAGCTAGACCAACGTCTGCGATACAGCCATACTCTTCGCAACCCCTCAGCGAGGCCGATGTCGCCGCAAAGGAAGCAGCATAGCTTCTGGACCGATAGTCCCACCGCTCGCTGGCATGCCCGCTCCCGTGTGAAGCGCCCAGCGATTGTCGCCCCGAGCGGGGTCTAACGAGAGATATCTCTCTGGGACGGGCCATATTTTTAATTTCGCACGATTTAATATCTCATCTACTTCGCCCTGATGTCAAGGAACTATTCCCTGCCTCTCTTCCCCCTCCTCCCTCCTCCCTGCGGCGCGCCGCGCCGCAGGTTTTCCATTGGCTGCACCTGTGGAAGTACAGCTACGACGGGAGCGGGATCAAGGCCCTGGAGGCGGCATGCGTTCCGGCCTCACCAGTCCCTTTCCTGCCGTGAGGGGGGGGAGGGAGCGTGGAGCGGGAGGAGACGGAAAGAGGGAGAAGGAGACGGAAAGAGGGAGAAGGGGAGAGAGGCAAACTATCGTGCACGTAGATGACGAGGGCGGAGTTCGTTGTCCTCCTCGGCATCCTTGTCGTCCACGTCCTCGTCCTCGTTGTCCTCGTTTTCGGGGTTTCGGGAGGTCGCTTCGCCGCCACAGTTGGACGCAGTTCGACGATTTGTCAGGGTTGGTCCCAGACGGTATCTGGGCCCGTGTTTGAGCGAATGTCGGTCGGATTTCTCGGGGCCGCTTCTGGGGTCCAGGACAGTCAAAACATACTTGGGATGAAAATGCCATTCCAGGGAAGGGGTGGAGAGGTCCAGGGGCTAGCGACTCGAAAATACCGAGTTGTCGGATGTCTGGGCCTGGTGCTACGGAGTGGGGAGCGTTGGCAAGCGACTCGCACCATTGCATTGCGTAGATGTCTTACAAGGGGGGGACAGGGGGGGGGGACGCTAAGGGAGTCAGGACGCCTTTGTCCACTCACATCCCGCATCATACCTCCAGTCTCTCTCCACATCAACTCTCCCCTTTTCCTTCTCCCCCTCATCCTCCCCCCTCCTCCCGTTACTCCTTATCCCGTCCACAACGTCTTGTCTTAGTCGTGTCGTCGTCGTCTACCTCCTTGTCCTCCTCCTCCTCCTCTTTTCCTCCTCCTCCTCCTCCTCCTCCTATTTGTCATCCTCCCTCTTCTGCCCCCGTGCCTGCCAGAGTTGCCAGGTACTGTCCGAGATAATGTTCATGTTGAGTCAGGTCCGCCGGACACTGCAGGGAGGCGCCTTGTGCAGCTGATCGGACCCGTTCTACCAGGAGGAGGACGACGACGAGCAGGAGGGGGAGTAAGAACAGGGGAGGGAGAGGAAGGAGGAGGAGGAGGAGGAGGAGGAGGAGGAGGAGGAGGAGGAGGAGGAGGAGGAGGAAAAGTAGGGGGAGTCGGAAAACGGAGAGGGAGAGCAGGGGGAGCGGGAGGGCGAGGAGCAGGAGGAGGGTGAACATGAGTAGATGAGGGGGAGGGGGAGGAGGAAAACGGGGAGGAGGAGGAGGAGGAGGAGGAGGAGGAGGAGGAGGAGGAGGAGGAGGAGGAGGAAGAGGAGGGCGGGGGGAGAGGAAAAGGAAGGGTAGAAAGGGAGGAGGGGGAGGAGGAGGAGGAAGGAGTGTGGAGGAGAGGAGGAGGAGGAGGAGGGGAGGAGGAGGAGGAGGAGGAGGACGAGGAGGAGGAGGAGGAGGAGGAGGAGGAGGGGGCGGAGGGATGAGAAGGAGGGATGGGGAGGGAGGAGGAGGAGGAGGAGGAGGAGGAGGAGGAGGAAGAGGAGGAGGAGAGGAGGAGGGGTGGAGGAGGAGGAGGGGGACAAATGGAGGAGGAGGAGGCGGAGTGAGGGGGAGGAGGGGGGAGGAGGATCGCACGCCACTGAGGGGGACGAGGGGAGGGGAGGAGGAGGAGGAGGAGGAGGAGGAGGAGGAGGAGGAGGAGGAGGAGGAGGAGGAGGAGGAGGAGGAGGAGGAGGAGGAGGAGGGGGAGGAGGAGGATGATGAAGAGGAGGAGGGCTAGGATGAAGAGGATGAAGAGGGGGAGGAGGAGGATACTCCAATGAGCCAGCAACGCGGAGCTTCCGGGACGGCACCAGCGTTTCCGCGGGCGGTAGCGACGGGAACGCACCCACGATCAGGTCTGTGCCGAACCTGCTCGCTCTCCTCCCTGAGCTACCCCCGCCAATGTGTTCCCAGCTCAGCTCGCGATCAGTTGTTGACCTACGCCTGGCAACGGACGACGAACAGAAGCACAGTCGGACCAACAAGCTCCGCGACTTTCACCCAGACGTCGACGCGATCTGGCGGGAGTACGTGACAGTTGAGGGCGTAGCCATCCCCGAGCCAAAGAATCAGGAGACCTCCTGGCCAGCAAACCGCTTGGTCCCCTTACTGGCCAGGACGTACGGCCGCGAGGTTCCAGCAAATGGCACGCCGCCACACGTCAACTGGGACGGTAAACGCTGGGCGGCCGCCAGAGTGGTGACGCACTTCACCAACAGCCCACGTCACAGCGAAGCCTGGCAGCAGCACTACACCTCCATGGCGCGAAGCAGGGGGGCCAGCCCATTCCGGCATGAGCTCCTAGTACTCGCCAACTTCTTGTTGGGCCTTGACGCGAGCGCCCTCGCGACAGCCACCATCACGAACCTGGCGTCCCAGGATCCAATCACCAGCTCGGGCAGCGAGGTGCTTCCGCAGACAGCGGTAGGTGCGGGGGCAGGGACATCGCTCGCTCCCAAGCCAGAGGTCGGCGAGTCATCCCAGAGCCGGGCCGTGGCTCACAACCCTGGCGGGGACGACCCAGCGGCGCTTTCCAGACGCGCTGACCTGGCCCCAAGCGGCTCAGGGGCGGGGCCAGCAGGAGGACCACAAGGACGGCGACACACCCGCAGACTCGGTCAGGGGCGCAGAAGAGGAGCTCGACCAACCAGGTACCGCAACCGACGACGAGGTACACGCCGGCGCCAGCGGCACTGCCACGGTAAGGGATCCCTCTGGATTTCGGCGGCCCGCGACCAGCATCCCCAGCATAATCGCCGAGCGAGCACGCAGAAGCGAGCGAAGGTCCCCAGCAGCCTGGTAGCTCGTTTCCACCCTCGCTCGAGTACAGCCACGAGGACAAAGGTGAGGGCGCCCCAGAAGCTAGCCCGAGCCTTGGCGACGATCCTCTTGGTGCCTTCCGGCCGCGCGGCCCGCCGGCGCCTGCTGCCGCAGGTGCCGCGGCGGCCGCCAGTTTCAGAGGTTATCCGCCCCCACCGAGGCGTGGCAATGCCATCGGTGATAGGGGTGCGCCCGGCACCCTGGCTGGGAACCAGCGCGCAGCGCCCCCTGGCGTCGACGGCGGCAGGCGCCCCTCGACCCTCCCCCGCAGCAGCGGCGCACGGAGGGCCTTCGACCATTTCTTGGACTCCGTTACATGCGGAAGCATGTATCGTGAAAACCTGGGCAGTGTCATCCTGGATCACCACGGAGAGCCCTCAGCCGACAAGATCGCGCGCCTCCAAAAACTTCTCGGAGGCACGTTCAACGGGATCTGGCGCGGCTACGCGCAGAAGCACCCTAGCCGTGCCAAAGGAAAGTCCAAAAGCAAACCCCTTCCTGAACGACGAGGCCACGTGCAATGGCTTCCTGGACGCCTGGCGCAGATGCGGTTTCGACGCCTGCGACATGGATCGGAAGCTGGAGCTCAGAGTCGACTGGCATGCCATGCGTGAGAAGCATATCAGAGCGACCTCTGGCAAGGGGTCCCGCCAGTCAAAGGGGTGGGGCTCTGGCTCCCAGCACCGGTTCTGGGATTCTTGGGAGGGGTGCCCCTGGCGCGGCTCAGGGCAGTCCTGGCAGGGCCAGGATTGGCCCGACGGATCCGCAAGAGAGGCAGACGGAACAGCGATGGTGCTGGCCGCGACGACAAGCGGCCCAAGTGGTCGTGATCCCCCCGGCACAGTTGCTGGATGCGTCTACGCGTCGCCAGAAGGCAGGGCCGTCAGCCACGCGCCAGAGACGAGAAAGTGTGGCCGTTAGCCACCTCAGTGACAACCTCACTTCCCGGCATCACGTTCAGCGCTTTCCCTGCCTCCTTCTTCTCCTCTGTGCCGACTGACTGCGTGGCCGTTAGCCGCTTGCGTGCCTGGGCGTCGCCCCTCCTCCCGGCCTCTCCTGGCGCGATGCCCTCGCTGGAGAGCGGCGCGGCGTGCCATCGCACGGCCCTTGCTGTTTGCTGCGACTGTTTGCGCCCTGGCCTTCTCCCGCGCCCGGCCGCAGCTCGACGTGGCGCCCCGGTTGGGCGGGCCCCGTGGCGACCGGAGACGGCCCCGACACTGCGCCTGGCTTCGCCCCCGCCTTTCTGGGGATCAGGCTCTTCGGCGCTGTCAATACCTGGCGCGGGGCCCCCTGCTGCTTGCTGGGGCGGGGGCGCAGCGTGCCGCCGCGCGGCCCTGGCCGTTCACCGTAGTTGTTTTCACCCTGGCCCTTTCCCGCACCTGGCCGCAGCCTGGCCTGGTTTCCCTGGTAAGCTGGCCCCCTCTTCGTGGCGTCACTTGGCTCGCGCACGCCGCGTCGATGACACTTGGCCCGGGGTATTCTCAGCCTTCAGCTGCTCGCTGCGCCGCCCCCCTCGGCGCCGCCTGGCCCCCCTCCCTGGCCGCCGCGCGGCCCTGCCGCTGACCGCGGCCTGGTTGCGGCTTCTGGGCTTTCGCCCTCCGCCCCTGGCGCCCGGCGGTATCCTCGCCGGTTTCTTGGGCTTGGCGCGGCAACCCCGGCGTCCCGGATGCTCGCGCGTCGACCGGCTCCAGCTAGCATGCCTGCGTGTTCCTGGCCCCTGGTCTCCAGGCGCTGCCGCGGCCTGGTCGCGCTTGCAGCTGCCACCTTGCAATGGTGGGATGCAGAAAGCGCGCCGCTGGATAACCCTGCAATTTCAAGAGGGGGGGGTGCTCGCAGACTCCCCCCCTTTCCCCCTTCGAAGGGGGGCGGGGTTTGCGACCCCCCCCCCCCCCCCCCTCCCCCTCTTAAGGGGGCAGGGTCAAACTTCCCCCCCCCGCCCCTTTCCCTTTTGAAGGGGGGAGGGGGGGGGGGGGTCTTCCTTGGCGCTGGAAAGGGGGGGGAGGCCCGATCCCCCCCCCCCCCTTTTTGCGCGAACACGGGGCCGGGGAGGGGCGGGACTTCTCCCGTTTTTTTTTTTTTTTGTCGCCGGAGAGGGTGGGTGGGGGGTGCGGAGTACGGGGTAGTGTGTAGAAAGTAGTGACTAGTGCGTAGTGAATAGTGAGTAGTGAGCAGCGAGTAGTGAGTAGTGAGTAGTGGGTAGTGAGTAGCGAGTAAGGCATCGGGAGTAGGGAGTGGGGAGTAGTGGGTCGTGAATAGTCAGTGCTGAGTACTGAATTGCAATGTGGCGAATAGTGAGTGGTGGGTCGTGGTTAGTGAGTAGTGAGTAGCGAGTAGTGAGTACAGAGTAGTGTGTAATGAGTAATGAGTTGTGAGTACTGAGTAGTGCGTAGGGAGAAGGGAGTCGTGAGTAGTGAGTGCTGGGTAGTTAGTAGTGGGTGGTGCGTAATGAGTAGTGAGTAGCGAGTAGTGGGTAGTGCGTAGTGAGTAGTGAATAGTGAGTAGTGAGTCGTGAGTAGTGAGTAGTGAGTAGTGAGTAGTGTGTAGTGACCAGAGAGCAGGTAGTAGTCAGTAGTGAGTAGTGAGTAATGAGTAGTGAGTAGTGCGTAGTGAGTAGTGAGTGGTGAGATGTGAGTAGTGGTAGTGGGTAGTGGGTAACGAGTAGTGAGTAGCGAGTAGTAAGTAGCGAGGAGGTAGTAGTGAGTAGCGAGTAGGGCGCTGTGAATAATGAGTAGTGAGGAGGGACCAGTGAGTATTGAGTAGTGAGTAGGGAGTAGTAAGTAGCGGGTAGGGAGTAGCGAGTAGTGAGTAGTGAGTAGTGAGTGGTGAGTATTGAGTAGGGAGTAGGGAGTAGTGAGTAGTGAGAAGGGAGGAGTGGGTAGTTAGTAGTTGGTAGTGGGTAGTTAGTACCGAGTAGAGAGTAGTGGTAGTGAGTGGTGGGTCGTGAGTAGTGAGTTGTGAGTAGTTCGTAGAGAGTAGTGAGTCGTGACTAAGCGACTAATGACTAGGGACTAGTGGGTCGGGAGTAATGAGTAGTGCGTAGTGAGTAGTGAGTAGTGGGTAGTGAATAGTGCGTATTGGGTAACGAGTAGGGTGTAGGGAGTAGCGAGTAGTCGTAGTGAGTA